CATAGACTTGCAAAAGTCGTGCTACATCAACTTTTAGGTATTGATTTAAATTTCATTTTGGTTATTAATATTATTATATTTTAATCTCAAAATATCTATTTTAGATTTGAAACTTAAAAAAAGTTAACTATGTTAGTGATTATCTTTATCTTACTTCACAATTTTTTTAGTGGGAATAGAGATTTAAAACTCCAACTCTTTGGTAAAAAATATATGCTTTAATCAATTGATATAACATGATAGCGAATATATTATTAATGTTGTAGGGAGAGTGTATATCAAACTACAATGGTTGAAGACGAATATTGGGTAAGAAAATATATGATAGACAAAAAAATATGAGAAATCGAAATGGTTACTTTTGTATTTCAAGAATTAAATTGAGAGAGGAATGAGTTCAAACTTCATGATGGTCCACCTACCTTAAGAATTAATATTTTTGTAGAGTCGGTTGCTTCGTGAGATGTGTGTACAAGCTGGTACAGACACTAATAAATATCTTTAAAAAAATAAAAATTACAAGGATTAAAATTTATTTTGAAAGCGCAATGACCAAAATARAACAAACTTTAAACTAGAATTCATGTTTGTTTGTTTGTTTTTTTTTTTACCTCAGGATCAACTAAAACATTTCAAATTGATTTTTTTTTTTCAAATGATCCATTTTTCTAGTATTTATTTCCTTGTACAATAATGAGCTGGCTACGTATATTTTAAATAATTGTCAAACTTGTAAGTAAATGTTAGGCTCATTTTAGAAATAAAATTTGGGGTTTGCTTGCGAGGTAAGTAATCCTTCCTTATGTTGAGCCTCAATTGTTGTTGTATGATTTATTCCATTTCTCTTCCATTAAATTCATATCTCATTSATTATACATTATTATTATTATCACAGTTAAAGTCTTTATTTTTTGCTAGTAGATTTTCCTATAATAATCTACGTATTATTATTATGGTATTATCGAGATCAACATAACTCAACTTATCAGGGTATTCCTTACTCCATTAAAGATCGGAGGCTAAAATTCTTCTACCCATTATTGAACTATTAGAAAAGTTACCTACGGTATTAGACATAGTTGTAAGATATATACTAGTATATTATTGATGATAAATATTTATGGAAATCGTTTTAATGTCGTAATTCATGCATGACAAGATAGCTAGTCAGTTAATTTATGAGTTTATAGATAGTCAATAATTAAATAGAGTAGTAGTACTGCTTAGTACTAGTAGTAGACTTTGATAGAACTTTATCTAGAGCAAAAATATTGAACTAAATAAAGATATTAGCCACAACTTATAGTTAATGATAGATTACATTACAAATTTGGATATAAAATTTTTAACAGGTCCCAAAGACTTTAATAGTTTGCGTGTATATGGTTTCTGTACTTTAAAAAGTCTATAATAAGTATYTGGACTTTWAGTATTGTGCATATTCTACCATTCACGATATTTTTGTGGCATTATTTATTAAATATTATGTGGTAGGCTGATCTGCATGTACTTCGACTAATCTCACGAGATAATTTCCTAAACCTACTACATTTGGTTGATAGAGAGGCTCAATAAGATATATTAAATTTAATTTGGTGGCAGACCCACTATTATTGAATTCATTCTCTTTAAATCTTATAAAAGTTCGTGGTATATATATATGATCAACTCAACATAATTAAGGTTTTTTTAGTTCATAATTAGGGGTGATTGTTTACTATCAACCATAATAAGGCAGTAATTAGCCAACAACTCATACATTGATATTCTGATCACAAGATTTGCAATCTTTATGTGTTTAAATACCTCATATTATATAGTTAAACCAAAAAAAAAAAAAAAATCCTCCGATTATCAAGTAATTTAAGACATATTTAGCCACGTTTTCATTCTTGTTTCTTGTTTCCTCCTTTAGAAAATATAAATAGAACTGCACTTGTTAATTGTTTTTTCTATTTTCTTATTGAAAAGATAAACAAAAACATATTTGGTAACAATTTCTTCTTTTCTCGTTCTCTAAAATTTTAAATTAAAAAAGTAAAATTTGTAYATGAAAATTAAATATTCATTATTTTTAGAAAAAAATTGGATATAAGATTAAAAAATAAGAAACTTGATTTTTCGTGTCTAAAGTTTTACTTTATTAAAAATAATAAAAAACTACAAACGAGAAATAAAAAATGAAAACGTTACGGACTGAGTTTTAATGTTTCTTTGGTATTATGCTTTGCAAGTGATGACAAGTAGGTGGGTCAAGGATAATTAAGTTGCTTAGCATATTATGAGAGTTTTAGTGATGACATGCAATAATTATTCAGTAGGTAGAGTTAAATTATGACCTAATTGTATTATTATTATTATTATTATTTTCATTTCTCATCTTTTTCATAGTTTACCTAGTTGGTTTAAGTTTGCTTCTTGGTTGCTTAATTCACATTTAAAAGTTAAATTACGAATGCCACTGAATTATTATTCATGAATATTGAAATTAAAATAAACAAAAGAAAAAAATAATATTTGTAGATTTTTTTTTTTTATCAATTTTATAACATTAGATACAAAATTATCTATTTTTTTAAACAAAAAATGATTGTAGTAGATCTTTTAGCATTATATATCCAAACTATTTAGAGAGTGGGTAAAATAGTACTTATTACGGAATAGATCTACAACATTGTCAAACGAGTATCCATTATACTCGCTCTCAATAAACATTTTAACGAGTTTTCATTTGTCTTATGATTGTTACTAGTCCATCATGCAAACTCATATAAGCAAAAAGTCTCAAATATCCTTGATCATGAGACATATAATTGTCACTATAAATAAGAACCATAATTCCGACGGTCGTGGTTAATATTTGACATAATACAAATAAGTGGATCGATCAAGTAGCCAAACTCTAAAGAAAAATCATCAWTAATAGTCGAAGGCCATACACAGATAGATATAATTACATCATAACTATACTTAACGATTCTACTCCATGTCCAACTTCCTTCATTTCTGTGGACGAAGAAACTTACCTCTCACGTGATTAAATCCCTAATATTCGAATATAYATATTAATTTAGTATCTATTATTTAAAAAGTACCAATTTAGTCTCCATATTTTTAAATTTTCCATCATACCAATTTATTATTTTTTAATATAACRAACATAGGGATGRGAGATTAAACCTCAAACTTCTTTTAAATTTATATCAATTTAATAAATATTATGTTAGGATTAATACTCAATTTATCATCCACTAATCAAAGAGTATAATTAAATCACTTGTGAAAGAAAATTATTTTTTAAGTTTTCTCCCATATTATTTTTAGAGTGATCCCCTCGAAAAGAGTAATTAATAGTTGGAATAGTACCACATTGTAATCATGATAAAACATGGTACACATTTTTGGTTAATTTACTTTTCATAAATTAGATTTAAAAGTCGTTTTATGCGTGTACAAAATCAATAATTGATACAATTTATGTTTGAACTTTTATCACACAATTGAATATTTCTTATTTCTTTTTCAAAGGTTAAATRTAYTGCAAGAAAAAAGACGGGTTCACAGCTTTTACTGATAAGACACAACGAACAAAGAGACGTGCTAAAAAAGTTGCACGAACAACAATAGGAAAAAGTCAATAATAAAAATACACACAAACAACAAAGAAACACCACATATCTCATAAACGAGACAAAACACAACAACTAATCAATAGTCGAGAATCATAACAAATGATATCCCGTCAGATGAGAACATCACTCTCAATAAGATGTAAAATAATAACCGCGACCTGATGAGAAGATCAAAGTGAATATATTTCACTACTCCAAGTATTCACTATATCGAGACTTATGCGTTGTTCCTCTGATTCATAGGTCTCAATTTAATGCACGAAAAAAAGGTAATTGATAGTTTCAATTGTGTATACATAACTTGTGGCATGGAAGGCATAAGAGAGGATAGGATTGAAGATGTGAATAAAGGCATAGTATGGACCATTTAAGCAAGCAAATGTTGATGGTTTTTCTTAGCCATTGGAAGTTCATTTATGTTACACCTCATTTTTAGTTGCGAGCAATCAATGACATGATGTTAACACATTCATTATATTAACTTCTTCAAAAACAATTCATTAATTGTAAAAGCACCCACCATTGCATCAATATATTACAATAAATATTGCACATAAAGATGCATTTATACACATAAAAAAGATGTTTCCTTCCCTCTCTATCTTTTTTTCTTTTTAATGTTCAAATAGTCTTTAGGTGCTTGTATTTTCGGCTTTGTTTAATTTTGGCCTCTTAGTTTTCAAAACGTTCATTTCTATTCCTATACTTTTAACTTTTGTTCATTTTAATTTATGTGCTTTTTTGACCTACGTTGCTTTAAGAAAGTAACCATTTAGATCATTTTATTTATATCTCATTTATTTTAGTTATTAGTTAAGACATATATTCGAAAGGTTGTGGATTCAATTCCCATCTTCACATGTTATACTCAGAAAAGGTTTTTTTCTTTTATCTCATTTATTTCGATCAAAATTTTTAGCATGACATTTTACCCACTAAATTTTTTGATATGTAGCCATAAATTTGTATAAAAATGTTTCTATTGTATATAAAATTTGATAGATATGACCTAAAATGGTAATTGACTTTTAAAAAGTACAATAACTAAAGTGAACAACAATTGAAAGTATAGGGACAAAATAAACATTTTGAAAAGTACAGGAACAAAAATAAATCAAAACCGAAAATACAAAGACTAAAAGAGTATTTAATCCATTTTTTTCTATTTAAATATTTAGAAAAAAAACTCTTTAATATTATTCAATAAAACGTAACGAGTTTAAAGATCCCACATGGAAAAGAAAATGGACCTTACAATGATTTATAATAGACATTGACTACTCCTCCATAGCCAATTGATTTTGAGATGTAACCACATTAATATTAATATGATATCAGAGTCCAAAAGCTGAAACGAGCATCCGGCCAGCGATACTTCAAATAAGTGCTAAAATTGGCCAGTAAAATACTCACAAAAGTAGTATTATCCAGCCACGTGAACTCATTGCTAATCACATAAAAGAAAAAATAAAATAAAACTTCTGTTTATTAACGCTTAATTAAAAAAAAAAGCTTGTTTAATAACTATTTATTTTTTGATTCAAATAAATTGTTCTTCTTTAATTTTTAGGTTGATTGATGGTAATATTTTTATCCTGTACTTTTATTATTTTATGCTTTCATAATTATTAATCTCTAGTTCTCAATATTAATTATTTAACTAAATTGAAACCAAAAATTAACTTGACTTATTTTAGAAATTGATGTGACACTTTGATATATGGTATAATGATTTATATATATAGGGATTGAAACGACACTGTATATATCTTTTTCGTGATTCTATTTAAATGTAGTGTATAAGTATTACTACTTGATTTTGAACTCTAGAATAAGTCTTTTAAGTGTCGTCATAATGCATAAACTAATTTCTTTCCGGTGGGCATAAGTTTAACTTATTTTCCCTGGATTTCTTTTTAGTGATCTTGCAGTAATATTTGTAAGAATTTTCAACCTAAATCATTGTCTTCTACTCATTTGGACAATAAGTACTATCATTTAAAAAGAAAAAAAAAAGAAGAAGAAGAAAAGAAAAGAAAAAGAAAAAAACTACTTGACTCCCCCTTTTAGAAAAACATTTTTTGACATAATATTCTACCTAAGGTAGAAATTTAAGGTATGTTTGTTTTGTGATCTGAAATAAAATTTTAAAAATATGGGATTCAATGAAAAACAAATTTATATCTCATATTTTGAATTTCGAATATTTGATAGTAGATTTTAGAAATTGAATTTTAATTTTAAAAATTGTTTAAGGTGTTAATATATTTGTAAATTAATAGTAATTATGCCAAAACAAGTAACTCAACGTTAATTGACAAATACTTCCAACCATGAGGTTCTGAGTACTAAAAAAAGTAATAGTAACTATCAACTAAATATTTAATTCAATCTAAACTAATTAATATTAATTGAATAATTAATATATATGTGTTATAATTTTTTTAGAATAATTCTTTTACAATATTATATAAATTATAATATATTATATTTTACATTTAAAAATATTATGGTCAAAATTTCTACTATTTAAATCACCGACCCAWAAAGTCCTAATTTTCCCAACAAAGCTTTTGAAAGAGTTGTGAACTTTATTTTTTCACACCCAAAAAGCTGAAAAAGTATCGTTCTTCTCAAATAATTGTTCTAATTTGGATTATTACAACGGGAAACAAACAGAATAAAAATTACAATTATTTTTTTATTTTTTTTATTTTTCCTATTTGTTAGAACACCGGCGACAGCTCCATCATCTCCTCCACCTGTCCGGCGGCGCCTTCTTCAAACAGCCACTTCTCAAGAAACGACAGCGGCGGCGCCACCGCCGTCGCCGCCGCAGCGCTCTCAGATCTCTGCTTCTCTCCAACATTTTCCGGCGATTTTCCCCACGAATTCACGTTCTTCAAGTTCTCAAACGACAAGATCGAATCAAATTCTTCACCGGAAATCAACTCGCCGCCGTCCGGCTCCGTTTTCGGCTGCTGGGTCGCAGCGCCGGCGGCAGAATTCTCACCGCCGGGGCCAATTTTCCGGCGAGATTCCACCGCGGAAGTCCGCATCCAACCTTGAAGAAGCCGCGAAATGTTCTCGGCGCTTGAGGCGTAGGTGGCGCCTCTGTTCCCGGCCAGGGACGGCGGCTCCGGCGAGCCGCCAACAGCCACCGCCGCCGCACCCCTTTTGTCATCAAAGCACTTGGTTTCTAAGTGACAGCTGCCGCCGCCGGACTCCGACGGCTCCGGCGGGTCCACGGCGGCGGACTGCAATTTTTTGAGCTTCTTCTTCAAATGGGTATTCCAATAATTCTTTATATCATTGTCTGTTCTTTGTGGAAGGTAAGAAGCTATGGCGGCCCATCTGAGATTCCAAATTGCATATCAAAAATGAAAATCAGTTCATAGGTAGTGACAAAAATAAAATTTTAACCAAACTTTATATACATATATAATCTTTTAAATTTAACCAAGTAGACACCCTATTTTCCACCAATTTTTCTACGCAGTGGTTTGAAAATTCTTATKCACGCAATCCATACCAATGTTTTGATCTAAAATTTCAAGTCGAGACGAGAGAGCTACAATGATGTATGTTGACAGTGATTCTTAAATATCTGATGACAGAATTTGATACGACGAGGACAAGATAGAAAATTACTTGTTACCCAATAAAGCTTGAAGATGAATAATCATGCCTTCTTCGTGGGGAGTGAAATTTCCTCTCTTRATTCCGGGCCTAAGATAATTGGTCCATCGAAGCCGACAACTTTTGCTGCATCTCAGCAATCCTAGTTCCAAGAATAACAAGAATTGAGAGAAATGATAACGAATATTGAATTATTTAATGAAATTGAAATTTACCTGTATTTGTAGGAACAGACCTCCAATTTCCAGGGCCATGTTCTTGGATGTAAGAGACAAGAATTATGTCTTCTTCAGGAGTCCATGGCCCCTTCTTTATCCCAACTTTGTCACAGCATGGAGGCCTTCCCATGGCTTCCTTTGGCTTTGGCTTTGGCTTCAATTCAATGGTTTATGCAAACAGAGAGCGGCCATGGACATGTGAGAAGCTTAAATAAAGGTGGATATATTGGGGATTTTTTAAATAATTAGTTTTGTTTTTAAAATCTTAAAAAATAATAATAAAAAAAAAAAAAAATCTCTCTTTTGGATCTACCCAATTACCCCATATTCATCAGCTCCCATCTGAAAGAGTTGGCCCTTTAATTAATTTAACTTTTTTTTTTCTTCCAACAAAAGTCAGATCAGAGAATTRAAGGGTTTTGATTGGGTCACGTGGCACTGGTTGGAGGAGACAGCTCTTGCTTTGCTAGCTGCCCTAGTTTTCTCCAAAAAGGTGGGAACTTTCCTCTTTCTTTTCACATGATCATAATCTCATCCCAAGTGAAAAGGTAAAACCAAATCTAGTGGAAATGTTTGAGTCATCCAACTTTATGTAAAATACATTATATATTTTAAATGGACATCTGTCTCTCGCATAGATTCTATTATTTTGATCGGTGTTGCTGCATGAATAAGTAAGTAATTAGTTGATCGATTGTACATYTGGAGGTTAGATTGGTATAATTCTAGAGATCGGAGTGTGGTGAGACACTGATGTGATAYTTTTTGATGCATTTCGATGAATTATATTAATTTTGAATCTTGAATTTGATGTAGTTTCAAAATGCAGTAGACGAACTTACTTTTCTATCTCTTCTCCATATTCTCTTTACTCAAAATAGAAATGATAGTTATCTAGATTTTCAGTCATTACTAGTTAAYGCTTAGCTGATGGTCTCATATTGTAGCTTGATATATAGTCATCAATATCACACTTTATAATTAAATAAGATTTACCGTTTAATTCTAGAACTAGTTGTGACGACGATATGTATTGCTTAGACTATGATCCACCATAATAACTAACTTTTCGTCTCACTTGATCAAGCTACGACTATTCCGTATATTCGGTACCCAACCCAATTATCCCACCTTACTTTATGATCACCTGATTGGGCTTGTACCTACTAGTGACTTTTAGTCTCATCCTAGTTTGGACTATGCCCACTTAATTAGTCAAGCTCCAATCCCTCTTAGTGTGAATCTACAACCATGAATGTAGGGGGAGTCTAATCTCTCAYTTGGTTGAGTTGAGGCTCACTCGACTCGGGTTAGGTTACGACCCACTTGGTAGCTTAATTACCAAATATATTGGAAGTACATATACATGCTCGATTTATGGTTGGATTCAATTGGTAGCATGGTATTAAATATCTATCGACACATCGGCATTTTCATTGACATGTCTATGTATCTATCGGTTCGACATCGATATGAGAAGTAAATCGACATTTCCATCATAGTACAAAAGAATCGACATAATATGAAAAATATCAACAAAATGTCATTACTATATACATAATATTAATATTACTAATTTTTAACTTATTAAGAAATAGAAAAATTTTTATTTGTTAATTTAAATTTTTTTATGATTTTTMTGATTTCTTTAACTTTTATAGAAATATCTATCGACATCGACATTTTATCAATATTTTCATGAAATTGAGATCTTGACATATTTAAAACCTTGGTTGGTAGTACATATGTTTATGATATATGTATCGATCAAAGTATATTGATTTTCCTCTAATATTAATGTTTTTTCCGAAGTGGAGGATCATTGAAAATGCGACCAAAGTTACATATTGGCTAAATAAGCGGAAAATCATAAGTATATAGACGATGACAATTATCTCGATTAGTACAAGACCTTTTGGATGARATCAAAAGTGAAGCCGTGTTAAGGTCTCTAATATTAATATCCAACCCTTTCCTTTACCATAAAAGTATCCCATGAATATTTGGAGGAAAAACTTTAGTTTTAGGCATTTTGAGGAAAAAGATTATTAAATGCACCAAAAAAAAAGAAAAAGAAAAAGTCCTTCCGTATGGCAAAAGCCAGTTGTGTTTGGTAGGACTAATGTGTGGCCGTCATTAAAAAGGAGTTTCATCAAWCACTGCAGCTTTCTTAATTAATGCTTTTAATTTCTTTAAACTCAAACCCTAAACTTCACCTGTAAAAGTGTCTCTCTTAATTACTTACTCTCCCACACGACACAACATGGTTTAAACTGTTCACTTCCCAAGCCTTGACTCCCTATCCCTGATTAGGGTTTCGAAATCGTCAACATGATTTTTTTTAGTATAATATGTGGAGTGGAAGTTCRAACTCATGACTTTTTGATCAGAGATAGATGTCTTAACCACTTGAGCTATGCTCGGTTTGACGAAAAAAAAAATGGTCGAATTAAAATGTGATTCTTTGCGCTGTTGATTTAAATATAGTTTAGTAGCAGATACATCATTAATATCTTCCTTGGGATGTAATTGAAAAAAAAAAAGAAATTTGTTTCACATTGAATATATAAATTCATAAATAATTTGAATATGGTCAATTTGGTTGATGGAATTAAGTTGGATGATAGATGACATGAGTATATAAGTAGTCAATTAATGGCCTCCCTACTTTTGTTAAGGTTAAACTGTGGGTTGAATTCTAAACTTTGCCTTACTTAAAATTTAARATGTTTAATACGTCCGTGAATTTTTAATTTTCAAACTTTTAGATATTTGAACTTTAAAAAGTGTCGAAAAGGTAATTTTCCAATTTCATGTCTAATGAGCTTCAATATTTCTCAARAACTTTTTTTTATATATAKATTTTAAAAATTCAGGGAYTAAATCCAAAACAAAATTTTGTATCTAATAGAGTTAGAAAGATTTGGATTGCCATTTGTGTAATATTTGAAAGTTTTGACCAATTTTCAGTTAAAAAGAAGACTAAATATAGCACTAGACATCAATTTTTGCATTTCTAAAATGTAGTAAAAAAATCACTCCCATTATAAATTTCTTATTATTTATTTAATGTGAAATTGGGTGGAAATTAGAAAGTTCAAGGTCGGCTTTCATAATCTTTTTATTTTTGATTTTTTGTTTTTAAAAATTAAGTTAATAATTATTTTATTTTTGATTTTTGATTTTTGAAAATTAAGTTCGTAAATACTTTTACTTTGATTATCTATGTATTTTTTTTTTTAATTTTGAATCTACTTTTTAAAAACATTTTCAAAATCTAAACTAAAGTTTAAAAACAAAAAATGTATTTCTAAGAAATGTTAGAACATATATACTAAAGAAATTGTGAGCAAGGAAGCATCATTTTTAAAGATAGAAAACTAAAAACGAAACTATTAAAAATGTTAGCTTATTTCAATGTCCAGTACTAATGTGATTCTTTTTAACGTCAATAAATGATTTTACCTTTTCGAGCTAAATTTGGGCTAAACCATAATTTTTACTTTTTAAAAACTAGATATAAAGTTTCAAACACATCCCTTTACTTTGAATTATTTCAAGATCACCCTATTCATAGGTCCAAAAACAAAAGCTTGAAGTTCAAGAATGAAATTGAAAAATCATATGTAGTTCGAGGACAAAATTGGAACCTCACATGTAGTATAAGGGCAAAAATGAGATGTACATACATTAATATCATACTATATTTCTATCAAAATCTTTGAGTGCCTTGGCTCAAAAGATGGTTTTGAAACAATAAAAAGAAAAATTGTTGGATATATTTAATTGGCTAAATATACTATATTATCCTTCATCTTCTAGTCAATTCTTGTTTTAGATGTTTTTATATTTTTAATTTTATCTTAATATATTTATAATTCATAATTACATCGTCCTTCTAAAAAAAACAATTTGTTGTCAAGAAAGTTGATGTATCATTAATTTATTTTATTATTAATATGTTCAGACATGTGAATATGCCACTTATGCTACTTGAAACATGAAATACAACCTTATTCCAATGAGCAAAATCCGACCCACCAATTAAAAAAATATATTCTTTTTCTAAGTGAGCATGCCCACGTATCCAAATATGTTAATAAAATAATAGCATATAATGAAAAATTAGCTTTATTTTAAACTTTATTTTAATGAAATGACCTCATTGAAGTCTTTTACCATGAGGGTAAAATAAAAAATTGAAAACTTCACAAGATTAAGGGACAAATATTGAAAAAACCTAGAAGATTAGAGAAGATTTGTTATATTAATTAGCCTATTTGAAGATTTAAAAGTTTTAAGACTAGAATTCAAAAGTCATATATGTCCAAAGAAAGAAAAAAATTTAAGAGTCATTCATAATTATTCAAGGACAAAAACTATAATTTAGCCTAAATTACATTTAATTAAGATTAATCATATTTAACTCAAAATATATGGCACGTATTTGCCTCTCATCCTTTACTCGCTTGACTAATCAACTTGTTATCCTACACTTTGTTAGATTCATTTTGACAAACGTCGTACAATTATGTATTTGAAAATATTCAAGTGGCTTAATGATATTCTTGAAAATTAAATCATTAAATGTTGACTATAGATTCTTAATATCTATAATACACATTTGTCAACATGTCCCCGCTATGTTGTCAGGCTCAGACAATTAAAGAAGGGAAAAAGTCGTTGTTTTTCTCCAAAATTTGATGGATCTAATATAGGTCACATCCTTCACGATATAAAATTGAAAGGTTCATACCTTCTTCTTCGAAGTAGAAATAGACTTTATCAAAATATATAAAGATTAAAATAGTCGTCAAAGGACAAATCTATCTATCTCGAGTCTCATCTAGATCGATTTCTGTCCATATGTTTCGATGGATAGAGATTAAAAAAAATAGGGGTAATTTCATGGACAACTTAAAAAATAATTGAGGAGAGATCGAGAGGGGAGGAGAGATTATCTCTTCCTCTCTCTCATTTTTTCCTCTCCCCTCTATTTCTCACCTCTCTTCATTCACATATTCAATTTATTCTCCCTTTTATTTATTTATTCTCACTTTTATTTATTTATTTATTTATTTTTTTGATTCTGTTATGTATATTCACATATTCAATTTATTCTCATTTATTTTATTTGATTTTATTATGTATATGAATTAAAATGAGATGATTTTTTTTATTTTTAAGTAATTAAACTAATATTTAATATCAATTTAAATATGGTAATTATAAATATCAATTTAACCCATAATAATCAATTATAACATAATTAGGTGACCATGAAATTCCTATTAACTAACATTTTCATCAAAATTGTATATTTATCACCATTTTGTCCAATTTTTTTTTGTTTGTTGGCGTGACATTTCCATATATATATATAAATATTACTATTTTTATGTAGGATGATTAAAAATGGTCCAGTATAGCCTAATTAAATCACGATTACAGTTCTATTAACTAATTCAAATAATTTTCATGGTTTCCAAATTTTTTTTCTTGAAATTTTTATCGAAATTTCCATAAAATTAGAACCTTAACATTTCCTTCGACATTTACATTTCAAACCTGGATCTTACCTTAAATTCAAGACAGATGGGCATTGATCGAATAGTAGAAAAGCTTCTTTACCTTGAAAAAAAATAAGATAAGGTTTTTCTACTTAAAATAAAGGGGAAATTATATATATATATATATATATATATATATATATATTATTTATTTATTTATTTATTTATTCATTCATTCAGTTAACAATGAGATATTTAAAAAAAAACACACACACAACAAAAATTAATATTGTGTAAAAAAGACCAATATAATTTTGAAACGTAATGATCTAATTTAGAGGATTGAGAATAGGTTACAAAAATATTTACTTACTTTTAATAAATCTACTCTTTTTTTCGAAAGGATTAATAATAATTTTACATGGTCACTTGATTATGAGAAAATTAAAGATAAATGAAAATTTCAAAACGAAAAATAAACCATGGGACAATAAAGCAAATAATTACAAACGTACATTAACTTTTTTAGGGCTTATCTTATAGTACATTCTCAGTACAACTTCATCTCCACCTTATCATTAATTATTGTGATAATTTCACCAACATCTATATCTATTATATGAATAATTGTTTTTTTTTTTACGATATTAACCTTGACATCCTTTACCAAACCGAGCATAGCTCAAATGGTTAAGACACCTATCTCTGACCAGAAGGTCATGAGTTCGAACCTCACCCCTACAATGTTGTACTAAAAAAAAACCTTGACATCCACTTTAACTCTAAGTTTTTGTAACATTATCATAATTCAACAATTAGAACATCTACTTCTAGATTGATATTCTTCGATAGTACTGTGATATTTTTTRTTCCAAACCTCCTAGAGACCATGTTGATATTATTTATTTTCAATGTTTATGTGAATATATTTGATAGCATATTTGAAAATTGTTCGTGTGTTTAACAATTTATTTATAAAGTAGTGGTAGTTGACAACTAAATATTTAATTTAATCTAAAAGAATATTAATTAATATATTAACATCTTTTATATAAATTTTTTAGAATTACTATTTTAAAATATAATATAATATATTATATTTTACATATTTCAATAAAAAAAATAAAATAAATTTATAACATAAAATAACATATTTATCAAAGTTTTTATCTTTTCTAATACAACACTGCATTTTAAAGTTTCAAATTCAAAATCTAAAAACCACTCAAAACAAAACAAAAATATTAATTTTCAAATTTTCACTATTTAGTCCACAAAATCTGAAAACAATGAAAGTAAATCTTAAAACAAGAAATAGAATCCAAATGCTATGTTCAACTCAAAATATTGTAGATCAATTTGGATCTCTTTGAAAGAATGTAGGTACGTAGTCCCAAATTTCTTTCAACATATGAACTTAGATTCATATCCATGAGAAAACATCATCAAACAAGTATAAAGAAAAGTAAAAAAAAAAATTTAACTTTTTAAATGTTTTATTTCGTTTTTTGATTTTTCTTTTATATTCGTGAATGTGCAAACCAACTTATAGGTAAGGTAACTCGTAGAATATTAACTCTTAAGTAGGTGGTCACCATAGAATTTCTAAAAGTTTTAATAATTCATAGTTTGAAAATTTCTCTCAAGTGCTTTTAGATGAAGCATATAACTACTGCTTACGAAATAAATGCCTCAACTTAAAGGCATATATTGAGGTAAAAATTTTCATGCTCAAAATTTAAAGGGATAATATATACACTACAGATCCATCTCCACACCAATCTTGTGAACTTGTCACCATCAACTTTACAAATATCCATGCATAACTGAACAAAATAATAATTCATATTTTCCAGATAATAAAAAATCACAATAAAGTAAAAAACTTACCACCACAAAATAGAAAAGGGATATTGAACCTGGCAAACAAATACAACTAAAATATAACGAGGCAAGTGGCTACACTAGAAAAACAGGGCACTGCGATGCAGATTACAGATGATATCTTCAATGAACAAAAATACAAACAGAAAATAATAATAATAACAATAATAATAGTAAGTTCATACACAAACTAATGGATAATAATTGTGCATTGAAAACCTTCTATACTGAGAGAAAGGGAAAACGCTACGCCTATGAATAACCATTATCCTTATGCAAAAGGGTTTCCTCCGATTGAAGCAACAGATTCCTGTGGGGTGATGTTCCTAAAATGAGGAAAAAGGAACAAGTAATTAAGGTTTACAGTTAAAAAACCAAGTTCGCTATCATACAAGACGAACACCGAGCTTCAATTCTCTTGCAGCAGTCTTGAATTTTGGGTATCCCATACTTGAAAGGTCATCTATAATGATTTTGACATGAATTTGAGAATTATAACGTTTTGAGTATTTTTTTTTTTAAACAAGAAACAAACTTTTCTTTGATAATATGAAAAGGAAGAAAAAAGTTCAAGCATACAAGCTCCCAAAGGAAGCAAGAAAAGAAAAAAGAAAAAACAAACAGAACATAGAAACCATAAACCCATGAAATAGATGAGATCTGAAGCCCAAGAACAAATGCTGAAAACTGTTATCAATAAAGCTCGCTGCTGAGAAGGAAATCAAAACAAACACTTAACACAAGCTGGTCGTCAGAAGAAAATACGTTTTGAGTAATTAAAAGCACTTTTTAAAATCTATCTTGATGATGATGATGATGAAGCTAAACAAAAGAAACAATGTGATAGTAGAACTTTTCGGTATATGCATAGATGAACTGTAACTAATCACAACAGAAAACGAGCCAAGTCTTATTAGAAAACTGCTTAAAACAGATTTTTAACAAAATTAAAACTCAGAAGTTAACAATGATATATCCTAACAATGAGCAAAAGTTTAGAGAACCAGCAWGAAAACTTAAAGAATCATGAAAATAGGTTAATCAAAGTCACCAGCTATGAGAACTTGTGCTTATTTGACTCGGGATGTCACTTCAACCACCTCATTTTATGAAAATTTATTGAGAGAGTAGATTTTCGACATTTTGAAAGTAAAATTTTGCCTTAATTTCCCATTTTCCTTTCCTATAAAATCTCAATCATCAAGGAAATGTCCCACCACTCAAAAATATGTTTTCAGCCAACTCTTCACAAGATTCGGATGATTAAGTTCTTTCAGCAAATAAACATTTTTCTTGAGCAAATGGCAAAAGCACTGAATAAAAGGAGTGCAATTTCACCATCTAAGAATAAATGAATAGCAGAACTTACGATATTTGGGAGACTGGTGTTTGGCCTGCCATGAGTGATAAGCCACCTGGAAGTAAAACAATAAAAAGGTAGAACGATGTTCTAATTCAAAAGATATAAATATCAATTCACATTCATAAAAGAATCGCAAGTGTTCAAAAGCATGCTTCGAGATCTGGCAGTTACTCCCATGAAAGCAATCCAATAGTAATTAAAATTATTTCAAGCCAAAGTGAAGTTTGCTTATTGCTAACAATTTTTTTGGTTAGAAATTTAGGTTTTAAAACGTTTTTGTAATTTATGCCAAGTCACAACTGTTTTAAAAAAGTAGAAAGCAAAACAAAGAATAGTGAGTAAACAAAGTTTTTTCTTATTATTAAAAAAAAGATTGAAAATTGAAAACCAATTCGTTATCAACCAAAACTAGGGAGCTGAGGAGGAACACGTTACCTTGTCCGGAAGTTGGAAGAAATGGTGATGCTGGATTTTGAGGAAACCATGATTCAGAACCACCAACTAAGGTGGATGGCAAATGTGCATTAGGGAGAGCAGCTTGCAACGAGCTCATGTCCAGAAACTGCAAAAGAGAAATGCCAAAAAGAAGTAAATCATTACTGTGATTGGATCATCCAAATCCACTATGCTGCCTAGCCCTAGTCCCTTCTCACTTTTTTTAAATAAAAAACATTTATTGATTGCGAACAGATTATATAACAAGAAAGGGATCAACATCCAAAATTATAAAGAAAACAGTTAAAAGAACTCCGTATGTTACAAAAATTAGCAAAATAAAAATAATTGGTTAAATTACAAGTTTTGTCCCTAAAAACTTTAAAATATATCTTTTTTTTWAAAATATCTTTAAAATGTATCTAATAAGTCTATAAACTTTTAAAGGAGTATCTAATAAGTTATCAACTTTAAAAAGTATTTAGAAGAGCAAGTTAATTTTAGAAGAAGAAAAAAAATATTATTGTTTTTCTTACTTGAAAAAAATAAAACCCTAGGCACCTTTATTTAAAGGTGAGAAACTTTTCTTAACAAGGAAACTAACACATAAACTCCTAATTACATAAAATATAGGAAACTATGAATTCTTATATAAAAAAGGAAAGACTATATATTACAATAATTATCTAAAATATATAAAACCAACACTCCCCCTCAAACTGGTTTGAAGATGTCTTCCATTGCCAGCTTGTCAATTAACTTGCCAAATTGCATTTTCGGAAGACCTTTAGTTAATACATCAACGATTTGTTCTGTAGCTGGCAAGTAGGTGGTACATATTACTCCTGCATTATTGATCTTCTCTTTTATAAAGTGTTTGTCAGACTTCAATATGTTTTGTCCTGTCATGTAGAACTGGATTGTGAGCTATGGAGATGGTAGACTTGTTGTCACAATAAATACGAATAGTTTCTTTCTGAGTAAACTTCAATTCCTCTAGTAGCCTTTTGATCCATATACCCTCACAAATACCATGAGCTAAAGCTCTAAACTCTGCTTCAGCGGTACTTCTTGCTACTACATTTTGTTTTTTGCTTCGCTAGGTAAATAAGTTACCTCGAAAAAATGAAAAGTAACCTGATGTAGAGCGTCTATCTGTCTCACTACCAGCCCAGTCGGCATCGGTATACACTTCAACTTGCAAGTGGTCATGTTTTCTGAACAGTATACCTTTGCCCGGAGTTCCTTTCAGATATCTTATAGATTACTTCAAAAATCCTCAAATTGTGGATCCAATACCCAAGCTTTGTGCTGGATAACATCCATTGGACACCTATTGGACTATTAGTGTGAATTGAAAAGCATGGTTGGTTTGGAAGAAGGTGTAGTTTACTTGGCTTGAAGCCTAAAATTACTTGGCCCAGACAATTTCAGACTGAGTTCCTCAGGACAGAGCGAAGCAATTTTGAATATGATTTGTTGAAGGTGTTCCAAGACATYGATGAGAAAGACATAAGCAATAGATGCAAATGAGTCCAACGTCTATTTTAACTCCTAAGAAGAGCAATGCGACCAGGATGAGCGAGACTATAAACCAGTCAGCTAGAACCTTTAATTAAATTGACAGCTAAGGCCTTAAAGGAAGGATTGAAGTACTTCATCTAATTGATAATACACAATAAGTATGTGCACGAAAGGATCGGATTTAAGATGTGCAAGGAAGGCAGATCATAACTGCTGTCATGATTGCAAATGAGTCTGTTGAATAATGGAGCAAAAAGCAAATTCGTTATAAAGTTGGATTTAGACAGCCTCTAACAAGGTTAATTGTCATTTTCTAGATGAGATGTTGAAGAGAATGTTCTGTTTCAAAACAAAGGGAGTGGATTTCTGGGACTTAAATTTGATAGATTCATCCTATGAAACACAAAGTTCTGGTCCAGAAGCGATAATATCAACCACTTGACGTACATCCTACATTTCCACTATGGTTGTTTTGTATTTTCCTTTTTATTTTTGTATTCCTTCTCCCCTTTTCTCTTTACGTTAATTTACGATTTCTCTTTAGTAGATTAATCACAACATGTAGTAATGAGAATCATATAGAGGGTCCTAGAGGCAGAACGTAGGATTCGTATGATGCATCCAGTATGCAGATGACTCACTCCTTTTCAACACTACAGAGGAGAAGATCTTGAATTAGAAAAGGCATCTGGATATGTTTCCAAGTGCCTCTGGAAAGTATAAACCTTATGAAGCCTGCAATTGCTGGTACAAGTATTTCAGACAGTAAAACAAGAATGGCTGACGTATTTGGGCAAAAAGTTAACAAAATACCCTTCAATTTCCTTGGCCTTCCCACTTGATGAATATCTGACATATAATTCCTTCAGGGAACCCATTGTCTATAATGTTTTTACTAGATTAACCAAGAGCAAGAAAGTCTAAATCTTCAAGGGAGGTCGACTCTAAGGCAGGGCACTGACTGCTGGCAAGACGTTATTTGTCCTTGTTCAAAATTCCAGCTGATTGAAGTAAGAAAATTGAGAAATCATCAGATTTGATATGGGAGGGGGCCAATCTTGGGTGGTTGCCATATTAATCAACTGGAATGTGACTCACTTCCTCAAGAACTACTCACATGTAAGGATCCTCTTATAGTAATAACCCTTCTTGATGACACTGTCAATCTTTTGAAATAATTCTACCATGGTATCATAAATTAAACTCAAAAGTCAAACTCTCGTATTGCTTTTTTTTTCCTGCCATTGGTCTTTCTAGCAAGCCTTTAAGGTTGGTTTTGTGCTATTTGATATCAAGAACAACATCACGAAACTCCYTGCAGTCTTTGTCAAAATGGCTTTTTTGGCCTTTACTGGTTGTAATTGTTGGCCAGAAATTCACTCAGAAACTAAATGATGCAGCCTAAGCTTGAAATTATCAAGAATGTAGAGGAAACTTTATTCAACATCATGTGATGTAATTACCAGCCCATTAGTTTTATTAGTTATTAGTTAAAGGCTGAAGTTAGTTGGTTAGCTGTTATAAGTTAGTTGGTTGGCTGTAATCAGTTAGTTCTTGTTAAATGTCAGTAGCACTCTTCTATAAAAGGGACTGTTGTCTTCATTTSTTGAGTAGTTTTTTCCATCAATAAAATTTCTCTGATTTGGTTTACACCAAATTAGTATCAGAGCACCAAGATCCCTGGGCTCGAAATCGCGGGTAAGAAAAATCTGGAGATTCTTCCCTCATCCAAAAAGAGGTAGAGCATATCACTGTCACCACGAACCACAACCTGACGCTTGCTGTCGGTTGAAGAAGCAGCGAACAATATCCATATGAATGTAGGTGAGATACGAAAAATGCTAGTCACGATCACAGAAAAACTAAAAGTTTTAAGCTTGCAAACAAAATAAACAGTATGTTCAACCAAGAAGATTCCAAGAAGTAAGAACCAAGATTCATTCAACAAGAAACCAATCAAAATCCTATGTTTCATAAAATAATCGAGTTGGATTCTGATTCAAGCAAAGGAGTCAATAATGAAGGTCGGTGTTTAATCAAGAACCAACACCACACAAAATTTCAGCAACCAGAAGGTTCAAGCAACAATCTTGGAGTTTGTATGAATTTTAACAAATTAGTTTCATACAAGACTGAGGTATTTTGCCACCAAACTCCAAACAATAGCCGTGAAATTTCTTTCTTCTGGTACGAAACTCCCAACAACTAGAGAAAAAAAACCCAAATGATACCTTAACCAAGATGGGAAGATGTTGCCACCAAGAAAGTGAAGACACTTCAAATGATTGCATAAGACCAACATAAATTTCAGAGGATGCAAGAGGTAACTCAAATTTGCTTCAAGTTGATGCCTTCAATGTTGATTTCATAAATTATGGAATCCAAAACTCTTCTCAGATTGAGGAAATTGAACAAGAAGACGAGTTTTTTCTTTAAGTTTGAAAATTATTTTGATGAGGAAGATGAGGTTGATAAAAAATTGATAGGAACAGGTGACGATTCTAGTTTTTCTTTGGCTACATTGTTCTTTCAAGTTGAAATGCAAGATGTTAATGGGCAAAATCCTTTAATTTCTCAAGAAGGCTTCCAGATAGAACAAGAACATGAGAAGGAGAAAGATGAGGAACAAACTACAAATTTTTTCCACCACGATAGACCTCAAGAAAGCAAAAACGAAGGGTTCTTGGTTCAAGATTCTGATTTTTCCAGCAAAGAAGAAGAGTTTTTCTGTGGGTTTGTAGATTATTTTGATGATATCATAGGGTGCAAAGATTGAAGGAGATGAAAGAAGCTTGAAGCAAGAACATACCAGAAAGTCTTTCCTTCCCAAAAGACTTCAAGAATGTAGATATGAGGAGTATTTTTGTTTGGATGAGTTAAAAAGGACTTTTCAGTTGGAGTATTTTTGAACCACAAGAAAAGGCAAATTTCCATTTTAAAGATTTTTCACAGCCTTCTAACTCATTTAAACTCGAAGGCGAGTTTTCTTTTAAGAGGGAAGGAAACTGATGTAATTACCGGCCCATTAGTTTTACTAGTTATTAGTTAAAGGCTGAAGTTAGTTGGTTAGCTGTTATTAGTTAGTTGGTTGGCTGTTATTAGTTAATTCTTGTTAAATGTCAGTAGCCCTCTTCTATAAAAGGACTGTTGTCTTCATTTGTTGAGTAGTTATTTCAATCAATAAAATTTCTCTCATTTGGTTTACACCATCATGTGTACTGTTTACATACCCCAATATACAACAGAAACAAACTAACCAAGTACAAACACAACTAACCAGCAAAACAGTAAACTAATCAACAAACCAGAAACTAAAACATAACAAAAAAATATCAAAAATATCCTCTAAATTATGAAAAGACCTCCCAACTATGAAGGATTTCATTCTGAGAATAGAGGAAGCAACTTCAGAATCCATTTTTATGCTATAGAGAGATAGGGGGGTGTTAAAGAGAGTGATTGTGAGCAGAGCAGGATGAAGAATTTCATCTTTTCTTTGGTTCGAGAATTGGCATATATGCTGCAGGGTTCAAAACTCAGCATGATATATGACAACGACATCCTAAAAGATTTCAATCTGGAATAACTTTAGCATGCATTCAAAACCTGTGTCATAATAATCTCCCTATCAGAAACACCTTATGCATTTAATTTACATACCAAATGAGCTTTTAATTACATTGAAACTTAGGAAAAGAAATGGTGAAAATTTTTGTATTATAGTTATCTGTCATTTGCAAGGGCAGACAGGGTACTCGTCCATTAAATATCATTTCTGAGATCATAACAGTCACATTTGGTATGCAAGGTGTATCAAAGATGACAACAACTTATTTTCTTCTAGAAATAATATTTTATGTTCAAGAAATATATGTTGGCTATATCTATATTAAAGATATTTTTTTTTAATGAAAAACAAAATATTTTATTGATGAGATGAAATATACAGAAGAAAGAAAGAAATCCCAAGAGGAAGGCCCTCCAACTCATCAAAAGGTCATGTAATCTATAATAAGAGAAAATACAAAGAATTTGCACCAGCTTAGAGCCATAACCAAAACTCCATCCAAAAACATATTTTCTGGTAAGAGTTTATCTTTACTCCTTTCAGTCCAATAACATATGGATCCATTAATGATCCATGCAAACTAAAAACTGCCTCTTTAAACTTAAAGCAACAGAGTAGCATCAACTCAAGTGGTGTTTGAAATTAAAATGAACACGGAGAGGGAAGATCATTATATTTGTAAACAATCAAAAGCTAATTTATACCATATTTGTTTGCTCCAATTCTGGATCATATGGAAGGTCAAATGGGTTTGTCGACTTATGACTGGATAACTGTGTAGCTMTCTCTCCCTGCAAAAAGCATTTAAGTTATATAAAAAATAGACATGCTCATGAAAGAGAACATATGTTAACATATTCAGCATGGTAGTAATTTTTATCTACCTCTGTAACTCCAAAAAACAAATGGCCATCGGAAGAAGGCAAGAACTCTTGACCTGGGACTTGAAGCTCGATACTTTGCTTACTGCCCTGTAGGGACAGGTGTGTGGTAGCATCTTCGAAAGCATTCCAAGACTCCTTATCAACAACAGATACAAGGAAATTAAGTTTCTTTCTATCTAAAGCACAATATTAATTATTAAATGCAAATTGCATCATAAACCTGGTACACCAGGACATTTGTTGTCAGGGAGATTCTGCTTACATTGGTGCCCGTCACATCAGCAGGAGCTTGAGCATTAGGCAAATCATTATGCCATTGGCTAGTTGATGAAGAAGAATCATGAGCAACATAATTTGGAGTGGACTGCCACTGAACCCCAGAATTAGAAGATAAGAAAGGATCAAACTTATCCAAAGCACCTTCATTGGAAGGAAGGTCGAGCTTTCCAAAATTGGAAGGATTCTTTACAGCACTAACATTAACAGAGCTAGGAACAGATGGTACTGCCTGAGGTAAATCAAATGTGGCCCATCCTTCATTTTTGGGGACTGCTAATTCTAATGGCATTTTATCCAATGTTGCTGAATGCTGTGGATCACTCTCRGAAAAGCATTGCAGGGATTGAGGTGGTGATATATGTTGAGGTTGATATTCGGAGAAAGATGGTGATGCAGATGACAACTGAAACAAATCCACCGGTGGAGCAGGCAATGATGCTTGTGACTGGAACAAGTCAACAGTTGAAGTTACAGCAGTGACAGGTTTTGGTGCAAAAGGTTCTTCAAAAAAACTTAAATTAATGGGAACTCCAGGAACAGACGACTGCTGAGAAATATGCAGCCTATCCAGGTTGTTCTGTGTATTTTGCTCAGGTTCCGACACGCTATCTGTTAAGCCAGCCGAATTATATGACTTCAGAGATGTCGAGTTGCTGTCTATTGAGCCAAAGCTACCTGAAGACCTTGTTCTCTAGGAAAAAAAACAGCAAAATAATTTGAGAATCAACATGGTTATAAAATTAAAATAGTGATAATAGTAATCATCACTTAACCCAAAAGCTTAAGCTGATGAGTTACAGTAAATTTAATTTTTTATCAATAATTATAATACTCCTCATCCCCGCTCGTGGGCTTAAAAATTAGCACAAGCTCTACAAGTGATTGTTAATATTAATTAAGGAGGAAACGTGGATGTTCGAACACAGAATCTACTACTCTAATACCATATTAAATTAGCACTAAACCCAAACCCAAAAAGATTAAGCTGATAAGTTACTGTAAATTTAATCTTTTTATCAATATTTTTAACATTGATAAAAGAGAGGTATTAAATCCCTTGAAGATGGTGAAGGAAATCAAAACTCAACAGAAGTACAACTTCTGAATCTTCAATCATTTCCTTAAGATGTTTTAAGGCATAAGAAATGTTGTATTTCAAGGATATACTCCTCTGTTCACACTACTAGTCACCTTCTCCAATTAATGCCACTCTTTAATACTTTCTTATCTAAAAGAGAATAAATTTAATCTTTTACTTGGTGGCATGCCGAGAAATTAGTTCTATTGGGTACATTTGAGGCATACATTCATTCTAACGTTATCTTTTGGGGCTTTCAGTGCTATAGCCAGCTATATAAGAAACCTCGAATGATAATATTCTAATTATTCTTGGATGAGAAACAAAAAAAAAAAAAAAAAATCAAATGGGTTTACATTAATCCATCTAAGATGGATAAAAGATTCTAAACTGGAAATTCTTCTCACTTGCAAATCTTTTTAACCTTAAATCAACAAGCCACATAAACTAAGTATTTTAAAATCACACAGTGGATTTCTCACCTTTAAGGATAAAGGAATTATGTTGCAAAGATAATATTCCGCTGTTATGAAAACCAGTATATTAGACACCTACTTAAGCATTTCTCAAAAAGGAAAATTTCTAAAATACCTGTGGACGTGACATTCCATAGGCATCTCTATGGGCATTTGCCTCTACAAACATRCTACCTATCTGATGTCTTGTATCTTCATTAGGCATATCCATAGCACAGTTAAAAGGCGGACTGCTAAATCCTGAATCCTTTTGATAATTTGGTGATTGAGCACCACATCTGAAAGGGTCACCTCCACTAGAGACAGAAAAGTCTGAAACCCTCGAGACATACCCCTCGTTAGCAAACCTATCCTCATAGGTTTGATCATTTAAGCGACCAGGACTAAAGACTGAACTAGACACTTTCCCCTCATATCGGCCTCGATCAGAACCAGGTTTCCTGGTAAGTGAAGCAGCTTGTTTTCCATATTTCCTATCTTCATATTGATAATCATAGGGTGGACTTTGGGAGTAAGAATGATAAGAACTGGCTCGCCTTGTCTCGTCTTCATGGATTCGATGGCTCTGCAGAACAAAACTGAAAATTAAAATGAGTTAAGAAGAACATGACTGGTTCAGGCACTATGTACAAAAGACTATCCAAAGCAAATTCTTAATAGCATGAGAAATAGAAGAGAAAAGAGCTCCCCACATATAATTCAAGTGCACTACAGAAAAAATTCATGCATTTTTAATCATTTTAATTTCCCTCTTGCATCAATAAAATAAAAGTACACACTTATCAGTAATTATCAGTACATGATGAAATCTGCAACTATGGGTTCAAGAAAATGCCTGCATATCTCTTGGAGGCTTCTCGGATGTTCTTCCGCCAGCATATTTTCTATCAACATATACATTCTTTATAAATTCCCGAATTTTGTCAATATTGCTGCAAGATGAATATATATCCTGTAAGATCTTTAGCCTATTATCAAAATATCAACACCTTAGCAGCAAATGGAAACTGTTGTACCTGTTAACTGGCAATCGCTGCCTTTGGAAGTCCCAATCCTTCAAATAGGTTTCCCTTGCTCGCTAGAACAATATTAAAAAACAATCAAGTGAGGGGAAGAATATACATGCAAATGAAAGAAAAACCAACAATGTTCAATTACCTGATTACCACCATTTTGAAGTGCTTCAACTTCTTGGAAAGTAAACTTGGCCATTGACACCGACTTCACTCGATGAGTAAACTCGCGACTTTTACACCAAAAAAGTACAAAACAAAATATTTAAGAAAATTAAGTATAGAAAAAATAATAATCATCTTACTGTATAATATCCAAACTCATTATGGGAAGATCTTCTTTTTTTTTTTTTTTTTTGATAAGAAACAAAATATCCCATTAACACCCAATCTTACTTTCTTACTTGATAACACAAAACGTTGAGAAAAAATTATAGAATTCAATCACAGTAACATTTTTTTTTATCAGATACAAGAATTTCATTCATCTTTTCAGGAATACAATAGAACAATAATTCGATGAAATGTTTAAATGTCATGCACAACTTTCAGCCTTCACAACATCATAGGTTAATAGATATTGCACTCTTGATTCCAAAGAGCTCAGAAAACATTGAATAGATGAACTAAAATCCTTAAATCCTTGACGGCCTCAAATACAGCAATGAAGGAGGCAATAGAATCTTGTAGCATACTCCAACTCGGTGAATGATATTAAATATATATGCATGAGAAAATGAATGTGAACGTAATACACGTATGGCCAAAGTTAAAAAGATAAAACAATATAATAAGAAGAAGCATTTAAATTTCCCAACTAATTGTATTGATCGATGACCCCAAAAAGTGTAAAAATGTAAATAAATTCATCTTCAGTCATTAGAACGTTTACTCATACTTAAGTCCTATAGACTAAAACTCCAAATTTTCTGGCATGCTGAAAAAGAAAATAAAATAAATTCATCGCATACTCAAACGTTATTCAAGAAAGGAAATACTCACTGTATTCCACTGCACGTCATACAAACAAAAGTCCAAAAGTTTGTACAAACATACTGAGGGCCCTGAAAATTAAAATGGCCGAAAAGGTCAGAAACAAGATTAAACGAGCCTAAGAACAAACAAATCACTGAAAGTCGAGAAAATTGTATAACTGAAAAAAGAGAATGTAACTAAAAAAGAAAACGTAGCTTCAGAACAGTAATACTAGGGATAATTTGACGGGACTAAACGTAAATGGTGAACTAAAAGCATCTAAACACGTTTCCAAATTCTAAATTTACTAATTTGTTCTATAATCATTGTCACTTTCTCAGAGAACAAACCACCACCAAACGAAKTTCCAGCTAAAACGTACTTAAGAAAGCGAAAGATAAACTGGAGTTGACAGAAAGGAACAAATTGGATGAAAAATCATATTCAATAACATCAAGAAAGAGAAAAAACAAAGAAGAAACTCCCGTTTACCAGGCCATTACAGTTGATACACCTCCTATTTGGTGGAAGCTTCATAAGGCCTCTTATAATCTTCTCGTTCCGTTCCTCCTCCTTCCTACTCCCCATTGCTACAAAGACGAAGGATCTAGGGTTTTCCAAACAGACAGTGGAACGAACAAAATTCCCTACAAGAAACAGTTCCGCAGAAGAATTCAAGAAAACTCGGGAGTTGTTCAAATCAACAGAAGAACGAAGAATCAACTTCAGTCAGCTCCAACTCGATTGCATTATTGATTGATTATCAGACAAAATGAACAGTCTTCGATTTTAAAATTTGATTTTTTTTYCYTTTYYTTTTTTTTTTTTCCGTTCAAAAGTTGTAAGGAAAAAAAATTGAAAGTAATTAGACGTTTGAAGATTTTGATTGGGTGTGCGCGTCCGCCGAATCACACGCTCCCAATTACGGTTATCAATCAAATTTCAAATTCTCCATTTTATTTATTTTTAATGATTCTTTTCTCTTTAATCGGAAATGCTCCATTACGTTAATGAAATAAGAATGTATTGAATTGTTCTTTTTTTTCTTTTTCTTGAGGAAAAAAAATGTATTGAGTCAATGGCATTGAGAAAATAAAAATTTTAGGTAAAAGGTCAATTTCGAGACTTTTGAGAGAATTTATTAAATCTTATAATATTYGTCAAACTAAAATTAAAACTTAGAATAAAAAATAAATTTATGGTAGATCATTGTTTTCGAACATTTGAAGTTATATATTTTAAARTTTGATTAGAGACATGTGTCAATTACTGATGASCATTATATTCACTATTCTAATTTTTTAAGATTAGAAAGCGAAAATATTTAAGAAATAGTTATTACTAGTTTTTTTAGTACTAACAAATAGTTATTATAGGTTTATATGAACATAATTGTCAAGTSATTGTAAAATTTATTAAGTCAAATTTTGGTGACATTTTTTTAACAAGAAACCATTTTTGAAATATTTATTAATTGCTTGATTTTTTTAAAATAAATTTTGAAAAAGGCTTTTGGTGATATATTAGACAAATGGCTAACTCCGAGAAGTAGCCTAGCTTAGTTGAGCGAAGCTCCTAATGGACAGAGAAGTTTGACTTATACAGAATTGTTGAAGAGCACGACAGAGAGCTCGATCAATTGCTGGAGATCACTTGGAAATATGGTTGGGAAGAAGAACGAGAAAGAAGTAAACAGATTCGTCTTACCAGGCTAACAAGGCAAGAGTAGGGTGGGTAGGAGCGGGTCGAGTCCGTATCGCCGCGGAGCAACAGCCGCGTCCGGATCTGATCTATCTACTCGGCAATTCATCCGGTGACTTCACGGTCGCCAAAGAAGCCCCAAGAAGCATCAAACATTTCCGATGAGATCCATGGAGCAATTCTTAGATAGCAAGTACTAGCTCCCAATGCGACTTCATAAAAAGCAAGAAACGACTTATCATCATGCATCCCCAGGGAGTGGCCACAATCCTTGCTCCACTTAAGTTCGGTATATTTGACAACATATTACTTTTCACAAACTTTCGCTTCAAAATCTCTATGTATTAGTTTTCAATTTCACTTTCTTCGAGAAAGCCCTTCCTTCAATCTTAGCAACTAAGAATATGAGTCACTATCTAATATATCTKTTTTATTTCTTTTTCATCTCTGGGGACTTTGTAATATTTAATACGTTAGATTTTTTCTGTTTATCTTCAGTATAATTTATTATTGACCAAAATGATGGAGGTTTAAATCCTTATCTCATATGTTATTGAGAATTAAAAAGAAATGTTAGATCTACTTTCTAATCCCTAATAAAAGAAGGTTTGTAAACTCGAGTGTCATTGATTTTTTGAGAGAATGAAAACATAAAAAAAATTTCACAAAATCAAATCGCTAGTAGACCAAAATATATATGTTTATGTAAGGTATCAAATCTAAACCTAAGAAGTATATCATCTATACTTCGTCAAGAAAATGGTCAAATACTTGAACAAGACTTAACAATATATACTAATCAAGGAATTCGGAACTCTAAAGGTACTAATATAAAATTTTATTGGATAGAGCGGTGTTGATTCGCCTCGTAATGCTGATTGAGTTGCAAAATCTTTACTGTTGTAAAATTTKGGGTGAATACTTTTACACCTTTTAACTATTACAACAATACATCGATATATTCAACCTGAACCTAGCTCAATTAATTAAGACATGTATTTTCATCCACAAGATTATGTATCTGAACTCTATCCCTACATRTTATTGTACTAAAAAAATAATACATCAGTATACTAGTTATTATGTTGTTGTACTAAAGGATATTCAAAAATTAGTCCATGCAACCAAAATTTCGAGTCATTTCTTTGATGTTATCTCTTGTTTAAKGATATTCGTAGACTTCTTTTGTGAGGGTACGTTTTAAATCTAGGGTATGTTTTAAATCTCATGTGAGTGAACTTATGAGGAAGAAGACATCAAAACTCGAAAATGCAAGGAATAAAGTTCTTTAAGATCTATTCGTATTAACTTGTTAAACGTAGTTGAACAGTTAAGATACATACTCTACTCTTTTCTYTAAGATTAGAGATTCAWATCTTCAAACTTCACTTTTGTTCCACTAAAAAAGGTTTTACTTCAACCAAAGAAAATCCACAATAAGGTGAACATGTCTTCTAAAAAGAATTGAGCTATTTTATATTTTTAACAAACCAATTGATTAACTAAGTATCATTCTATTTATTAAAGTGAAATACATTTCTAAACATGGTCATTTGACATGTGTTTGAAGAAACCAAGCCACGTTAGAAACAGGTTTGAATACTATTTTTGTCTATAATTTCAACTTTGATTKATTTTAGTTCTTATATTTTCAAAATGTTTATTTTATGATCTCTATATTTAAAAAAATGATCACTTTGGTCATCTCATTTTTATTTTTATCTCATTTATTTCAATCACAAGTTTAGCATAATACTTCATTCCCTAAATTTCTTGAAACTTAATTATACATGTGTATGTGTATTAAAAGATTTCTATTGTATATAAAATTTGTGTTAAAATTTTGCAAATATAATCCAAAATCACTTTTAAAAAGTACGAAATCAAAATATATGGCTCAAAAGTATAGGAATTAAAATAAACAAAAATTGAAAATATAGGGACCAAAAGAAACCAAAGTCAAGAGTAAAAAGAAAAATATGATCATACGTCACTTACTCAATTTACTACCTTAATTATTGTTGTGTTTATTTTAAACTATTATAACCCTACCTTTTTTAGAACTACATGTAAAGGTGAAATTCAAACTCATGACCTGTTGATCGTAGATTACCGTCTTAACTCGTTGAGCTATATGTYTAAGTTGACAATAACTTAGCCTCATCATCAGGCTCGAAATTCAAAGGTCGGTCCAAACCCACCCAAGCCCAATCCAAGCTCAGGTCAAAGTCAACATTTGACCGGACTGGCCAAGCCCAGCCCAGCCCATCCAAAAATTGGATTGGATATAGATTTTTGCTTTTTAAATTGGGCTGGCACATGATCGGATCGGCTCGTTAGGCAGACCCAAAGGCCCGATCCAATATTATTTAAATAATTAGTATTTAGGATTATTCTTTTTTTTTTCATTCACATTCCTATCATTTTTTTATATTAATATAGTAATACAATTTATTTATTTAAAATTTAAATAAATGAAGTTTTAAAACTATCATATAGCATAATTTATTGATAACTTTTTGAAAAAAAAAATATATAAAATAAAAACACAATTTGTAATACTTACGAACTTGGTTTGAAAAAATATTTAAAAAATAAAATTTTAATAATTAAAAAATAATTTATTATATGGACTTCTACGAGCCCGATCCAAATGAACAATCCAAGTCCAATTCAATTTTGGTTTATTGTTTTAGGCCCATTAAGCCTAATTTTTAGTGGTTGAGCCAACTCAAACCCAATCCAAACAATATTTGAGGCCCGTAGGACTTAGATCTGGGTAGAGTTCGGACCTTTGTTTCTACCCGACCTAATGATAAGGGTGATCTATAACCCTACTTATCATAACTTATAACAATAAGATGTTAGAAGAACTAAAAATAAACATTTTTGTTTTTACTTTTAAATATAGACATGGAGTGTAGATCTCTTCAAAATTCTTCGAATATGAAACTAGGAATTCCAACAATCCTATATAGGAGATCAAATTGTAGGAGCTTAGAAATTTGACTTTAAAYAATTGTTGGAGGTCTTATTTGCTTAAAAACACTTTAAAATACCTCAAAAGTATTTTTAAATTTTCTTAAATCACTTTCCACTGCATAACAAAATACACCATAAAAATATAATATTGAAATTAACTCAAATAAAAATATTTCTCACCTTTCTAAAATTCAGGTCAAATTTACTCTTAATTAGCACAGGGTAATTTTGAGATACATTTTGAAAGTACTGATTTTAAATGAGATGTTTTCTATTAAAATACTTTTAGAAGAATGGAAGTTTGAAAGTGTTTTCAAGTAAAATCATATTCCTTCCCTCAAGGGCCGTTTGGTTCAAGGTTTCAAAAAAAATGTCTGCGATTAAAATGTTTGAGAATAAGATATCTATGAAACTAACTGTGTTTGGTTGTATATATGTTTGGAATTAAGATGTCTAAGATTAATATGTCTAAAAATGAATTATATATATGTTTATTTTCTGTGATTACTCTGGAAATATTCATTTTATGTCATTATAAACATTGATTAATAACAAATCAAATTTAAATAAAAAAATAAATAATATAAATTAAATTATTTTATATTAAAATTCTAAATTTTAAATTAACAATTTAGCTATATTGACAATTTCGCACAATAATCAATTGAATAATTAATATTAAATGTTATTTAACTAAAATTCAATATATATATATTTAGCAAAATGATATATTTGTATAAAGCTTTAAAATCAATCAAAATTAACTCACAATAATTAATTTATCTTTATTAAGTTAAAATAATTATTAGTTTAAGCAATTATGTTTTAATTTAAGTTTCACTATTTAATAAATATATTATAAATAATATGTTGTTGATTTTATTTAGCCATGAATCTTAATAATTATAATTCTATGTGTTTAACACAATTGATCATTTTCATCYTATTAATGACATCAATTAATTACATTTTTTTATATAAAAAATTAAGTGTACACTTTAATAAATTAATTTATTGCAATAGAATAATTAATTTAGTACATTATTGGTAAAATTTTAATGTTGTTTTATTAATTATAAATTTAATTTAAATATTTTAACTAATTTTAATTAATTAATTTGAATAAAATAAAGTAATCATTAAAAAATTATTTA